CAAGGTGGCATTTCGATTTTTTTTTCTTTTATTTCTTTCCTCCTGAGACGGAAATAAACCTCGTGGACAATACACGGATATCTATTTCCTTCTGTCAAAGTCACGTCATCTTTTTCCTTACACCACGTGAATATACTCGTTTTCTTGTTCATCTCTATCTTCGGATTCAGACCCTCGCTGCCGCACTTGGTTTAGAGGTATACCTGGGTCTGGGCTGAGCGTGTTTTGTGTCGTTCGTGAAGATTCTGGTCTCTGAACATCACCTGAGTCTTGCAGTGCAGGCTTCACGAGTTGACCATGAACATTGAAATACGGCTGGAAAATAAACGAGAAAAACAAATTTAATGAGAGGTAAGATATCAATAGACAGATGCTGGAAGTGTAACACGCTCGACACTAATGGGGATTATGCATAAAAACAAACAAACAAACAAAGCATAAGCAAAAGCAAAGAAAAAGAGGTCGATGCATCGTTGTACTGAAGTAATAAAATTTCCCACCTTTAAAATGTAGGAATTATTTATATAAAATTAATTCTTTTCCTTATCGGGGTCATTCTATTTTCTTTGAGTATGTAAATATTCACGCCTTAAAAACCCCTCTGTTAGAGAACATTTGGTTAAAATTTGTACGGATATTCTGAAGACCACTTGTCGCAAAAGAATATAATGCTGGACAAAAACCGTGAGGTTAAAGGTGCTCAGTCACGGTTTGCACATTTTGAAACGTTCAGCCTAAATTTTCAAATTCGTCGTTTGCAATCCGTGTCAATCTTCGCCATCCTTGACCATTCTTGTTCCTTTATGGTTTATTATTATCTCTTTGATGTTTTTCTATCTTAGAAAACTATTATTTTCAGATTTCCTTCCATTTAAGGGAGATTTTGTATGTGGCCAAAAAAAAAGACAAAACACCGTGACTGAACTCCTTTAAACTCAGTGTGTAAACTTACAAGTTTTTTCCGGGCTGTAGATGCTGGCGGATTCAGTATGGCGCCGTTGGAATCAGCTCTTGAATCTCTGGCGACGGCTGACTTAAAATTTGCAGGAGGCTCAGGCAGATGATAATCTGTATATTGAGAAGATTAAAAAAAATGTTCACAAGAGTCAGATGAATGACGACAAATAACCAAATATATAGATACGATATTTTCTCACGCTTTGCTCGTGCGTTTATGTACTATTTAAGGCAAAGAGACTGTTTTAAAATTCAAAATCGGAGCACAAACTCACGTGGTTCGTGTTTGTTGATGTTGGACATTGCCTCGTTTCTTAGAGGATTCTCGGTAGCAGGCAGATTGGAAGGATCATCCAAAGCTAAATCCACTTGTTGCAGCATGGAGCCTCCTGATCTCTCTGTTTGATTATACTGTGGGGGGTTCCCTGTGTCGCAAAATGAACAAGCGCATGACGCATCTCCAGTTAGTTCACATTACTTACCTGTACGTAAATCTGCGAGTACTATCAATACGACTAAATCAAAAGTCAAAATATGCTTATTTTGATACGTTAGTCACGACTCTCAAAAAGGATTAAGTTGACTATTTACATATTATTGGTCTTATCAGTCTTAGTGAACATCCTAAGGGTGATCTGTAATAAATTATGTTCTTTTGGGTAAGGGTGTCTTGGAAGGGGAATGATAGACAAATGTTACCCCGGCAGATACCGTAGAGAATACAAAGGTGTTTTATTTTCAGCAACATTATACGGGCCCTCTAAGTTTGACATATCAAGCTATCTTACCTGGTGCTAGTCCATGGAGTTCCGCAGAAGGCTTACTGGATTTATTCTTCTTTTCTGGCGTGGCATAAATTACCGTTGGATCAAGGAGCCCTCTGATTGAGCCACTGGTAGCCTGTGAGGGTTTTGGTCTGCGGCCTGCATATCTTCCCTTACCAGGCTCTGTAAGGTTTCCATTTGTTTCAGACTGAAGCATGGCTTGCTCAAAAGATGGTGGTTCTTGAGGCAGGGGTAGTGTGTTCAAGTCTCTCTGTGGTCCTCTAACGAGGTATGACGAATTTGCAACGACCTCTCCCGTGCTCTGTGCAGTAGGCTTGTTGCTTGAGACACGTGACCCTGGCTTAAGTAGCATTTCAGGCTGAGGTCGGACAGAATCTAACAGGGAAAATACAATCAGATTAAGCGCAAATCGAATTCTAATAGTCTATGTACAAGTACAAACGATTTTAAGATAACTGACATAATGCTTGCGCGCTCACTGGTCGAGAACTATGGTCAATGATGGCATGGCCATAAAAGAGGACTGTCCTGTAACGCAATGTAAGATAACTTTGAATTTGAAGAACTTGAGAAATTATCGTGACTTTCCCCATAAACTGATACCGTCGAGTCTCATCGTGCAACGGAATGCCCTTAAACACTTATGGTTATGGTTAGACCATTTCTATAGGGTCTGTAGGAGTGTGGACCATGGACAAATGCGGTCGGTTGGTCTAATCGTAGACAAGAAGTGATAACATTAGGCACCATCTTTGATTGGGATTCACGTGCAAACAGCACATCTCCCTACCTTCTGACGAGTAACCATAGTTAACATTGGCATTGTTCGTTTTCTTGCTATCGCCAATCGATTTCAGAGAATGTGTGGATGCAGCTAAAATGAAGGGATCATCTTCGACAGACTCCATGCCATAGCTTCGCCTATCCGTCGAACGGGACGCACTTGGGCCACCTACGACATAACTGAACAATAACAAAAAGAGCAATTAGTCACAATAGTAGAGGAAAGACTTGCGAGTACCCTGCAATATTATCCAGCTCGATAATAATACCAAGTTTTCCCTCATTTTACTACAGTTTAACTGAAGTTGAATTTGTTCAGACACGATCGCTTCTCGCCCTTATAATTTACTCAGTCGAGGTTTCTTCAATTTGGTATTCCGTTTGGCCATTGATTGCCACCCTCCTTTGTAAAAATATAGTTAAAACATTTGGTATAAATCGTTCATTGAATCTCCTTTGGCTAAAATTTATTGCCAGTGACCTTGAGTTTCTAAGTGCAAGCTACCAAGTACTTTATTCTCGCAGAAATATCGCACAATGCCTTCAAATCACTAATTGCTGCAGATTTCTCTACTGAACATATTGAGCAGCAAAATTGGACAAAGGTGCTACCCTGGCTTACAGGTCTCCATAACCGTAGTTAGGGTCATTCTGCAAAGATTCGAGACCCTCTATGACCAGACGAATGTGTAAAGAAGTGGCCTAAGGACGCTTGTGTCCAGTCACAACAAATGCAAACACCGAAACTAGCCAGTCACAACTGCAAAAATCATGTCGTACAAAGCGTCGAATAACTGGAGTAAATAACAATTGTTAGCATTGTTCACCTTGACGTTGGCGACATTTCAACACCGTCAGCTTAAAGAAAAGAGAAAAACAAATGAAATAAAGGATCAGTGTCATTGATTGTTTCTATTCGCCATAAGATTAAACGACAATTAAATTGTTTCTGAATTTAATGTTCGAGTTTTCATGCGATTGAATTGTTCTCTCCATTATTTCGTACAGGTTTTCATCAATGTAGACCTTACTTAGGTGTAATCTTTGAAAGAAAACAAAAAAGCCAGCAATACCCTAGCTGTAGTGCATTATAAAGAAAACATGAAGACTAAAGGCAGGTTTAGGTACGGTTGGTTTTCACTAGCGCACAAGCAGGAACGAGAGCTGAACGAGAAGCGTCACGAATGACTGGGAGTTTAGATACCAGCTCCATCTCGTCAAAGAAACATGTGGCTCTAGGGACAAGAATAGACATGAGCCCTCCTCAATTGTTAAACAATATGGCGGAGTCCG